AAAGTGGGAAAAAAAAAGGCTTAAACCCTTCTCGGGAATTCCTTTTTTTTTTTTTTTTGTTTTTTTTTTTTTTTTTTTTGGTAAGAAGAACAATGTTAAATTTGATGCTGGATTCAATAGAAAGAAGCACAAATTATGTAGAACTGTGACCAAATCTGGTGAATATTATTATATTATCCAGATGGAATTTGTTTCTAAACAGCTTCGTTATAAAACACTGAATATTAACTTGCCGCAAAAATAAAAGTTACCTTCATTTGCAACGTCAGCATCCTGAATATCTGTAATGAAAACAAATAAACAGCTTCTTTGGTTATCATCATTTGCAGTTGAACTTTTCTTCAGTGGTTCATTAGTGAGGTTTGTAACTTCAACGGAAAGAGGAAGCGCAGGAAAGGGAATAGGACATTGATTAACTCTGCTGTTCTGCGATCTTTCTCTCTCTCTGAGCAGGCAGCGGTCAACATGAATGGGTTTGAACGCAGTTGTTGCCCTCTGATCCTTCTGACCTCCTCCTTCCCTCTTTTTCTGACCACTAACCAACGAAGCCTACCCTCTTTATCTCTGCAGCCCACAGGAAATCATTACTCAATGCAACTTCTCCACCAACCTCCTCTGTCCCTTGATCTCCAAGTTGTTGTTGTTTTTTTTTGTTTTTTTTCCCCCAATTAAAAGATGTCTCTCATGTCCAGCAAAACCCCTGGACCAAAAGGCAATTAAACCTGCACTATCTGTAAACATCAACCCAATCATATGACAGGAATACGATCTTTAAAATTGAACACCGTAACATTGCTAGCTTTTCAATCGGTATAGAGGAGCTTGTGCCTCCTAATGCTTCTGATAATGACCTGGTAATGTGTGGTTGTATTGCTCTTCCCTTCCCAAATGGCTTGTGGTTAGCTCATAATGAATTTGGGGTGTAAAGTTGGATGTCCACCCAGGGACCTAATTTATAAAGCAAAGGGCCAACAGTGTCAAAGTCTGAGATGCAGCCCCACGGCAAATGACTCGGTGTGCTCCGCGTACCGACACATTCACATCCCCTCTGCGGGAGCAGCATGCCCAGGAACACACACAATGATTCAAGAGACTCATATCACTGGGAAATAAAAGTGTTTCTCAATTTATAGCGAGTATCTTTTATGATTCCCCGCAGTAATTGTCCTGGTGCTCCACTGTGTCCAAATGAGTCTATAAATGTGTGTTTTTTTGTGGTCACATAAAAAATTTACTTCTATAGTCACCTTTGTTTTATATGCGCAAACTTTTGGTTAGTTATGGTATTTCTAAACCTTTTCTTATTGCAGTTGTGCGCTTAAGCTTTAGTACCTACAAATCTTAGGTGGCTACCGAAGCCAGTACTGTTAAAGAGGACAAACTTATGGCGGTGCGGGGAGGGGTGGGGGGGACGGGGGGGAGCTCTCTGTTCCACTTTAGGTGGGAAACTCGTGGTTGAAAATAAAGTTGACTATTTTTACTTTGTATTACCACCGAGCGATCTCAGAGATATATGATTATTGCAATAATACAGCATTATCTATGGATCGCTGTTTCTAATGTTACACATTCAAACATTAAAAGCTCATAATAATGTCAAGAATCATTTTTACCACATCAGCTGACTAAAATAAAATTTTTACATTTTGAAAACTTTCATTATAAATCTTAATAATAACGTAATAAATGAAGTTTCAAACTCAAGTATGATAGAAATATGCAGGTGTCATATGCAGGTGACTTTTGGTTGTTTGGTCATCTTTGATGCCTTGTATATTCCTCTGTATCACTAAATCACTAAATTATCAATATAGAGTCAGTAATGGGACAATCTGTCTTGTATGGAGCATATCAAGGAACACCT